CACGGGTTCCCGCTGTGTCTCCCGGGCGGGTTCCCTCCTTGAACCTGCGTTCCTCCCGCAGCTCCCGTGGCTCGGATTCCAAAGCCAAGGGTTCCGCTGTTGTGCAGAGAGCATTTGGGGGACCTTTCTGTGTCGGGGTCGGCACGGTGACGGTCCGGGCTCCCGGGCGCCGCCGGAGCTGGCGGTGTCCCCTCGCTGGACCGAGGGCCCGGCCCGCAGGCCAGACCGTGCCGTGCTCAGCCCTTCTTGCCAGCAGGGTTCTGGGATCTAAACGCTAGTGAGCTGCGGGCCATGCTGGGCACGAGATGAAAGATTGCCTGGAGGGAGGAGGACGGGAACGTTCAAAGTGGAAGACTTAGGTTTGCTCCAGGGTACACCTCCACCAGGGTTAGGAGGCTTAGAGCAGAGGGTAACGAAAGCAATGACAGCCTTTTTAAAATTTTTTTAACATTGAGGATTCCTTAAGTTTTAGACAGGGTCAGGAACTTTTTGGTTTTTCGAGACAGGGTTTCTCTGTGTAGCTCTGGAGACCAGGCTGACCTCGAACTCACAGAGATCCACCTGTCTCTGCCTCCCGAGTGCAGAGATTAATGGCATGTGCCACCAACGCCCGGCCAGGGATGTTTTAAAAATGAGTTTTCCCGAGAACCTCAGAGGTTTAGAGCATACGCCATTGCGGGTGGGTTAGTTGGTGCTTATGCCTGGTCGTCTTCACACAAGCCTGTGAACGAATAAAGTCCCTAAGTGCTTAGACTTTATTTCTTTGAGACACTTGTTCTCCAAGGCTACAAATTATCTACATAGTTAACCGGTAAAGTTTTGAGTATGGGGAAATGATCTTTGAATTGTGAGGAGAAGTTCTGTGTTCTTCCAGTTTGGACTACTCTACTGACAAACCCGCACACAGTCCAGTCGAAACCCCTGTGTTAACTAATTTCTGTGTCTTCAGTTAGTGCTAATTTTCCTGAGCTTGGTGTTTGTTTTGTTCTTTTTGAGGCCGAGTCTTTCTGTGTAGCTCCTGGCTGTCCTGGAAGTAAACCAGGCTGGCCTCACTCACAGAGATCCACCTGCCTCTGCCTCTGCCTCCCAAATGCTGGGCTTAAAGGTGTGGGCCACCACCACCCGGCTTCTTTTTCTAGTTTTCACTCTATGATGGATTTTTCACTTTCTGGGGTGTGTAAGTGCATAAAAATCTATTTAAAAGTGTAAAATCCAGTATGAAGTTCCACTGAGGTGTATAGACTTTGGACATGGTTAATATGACTGATTTTTTTTTGCAATTTCTTTAAAGTTTTAATAAAAAATAAATGGTTATTGAGATCAGTGTAGTGAAGCAGAGTTTATGTGAACAAAGCAAAACATGACTTGTCAGTACAAAGGAGGCACAAGTTGGAGGAACAGTTCCAGGCAAGCCCAGGCTCCAGGAGATCCTGTCTCAGCCTTCACTCCCTTCAACAAAACAAAACATCTGCGATCTCAGCATTTGGGAGGTGGAGACTGGAATCAGGAGTTCAAAGCCAGCTTTGAGATGAGACTCTGTCTCATTGCTCCCAACACATACTCACACCAAAACAACAAAATTAAAAAAAAAATTAAAAGCATGATTTGCAAGTTGAGCTGCCTCCAAAAACAAAGCAGGTTCTAGGAACTCCAGAATACTGTAATCAAACAGAAAAACGGAAGAGTGATGTAATTAGCTATAGCTTAGTCCTTTAAACAGTCTGTTGTCATTTAATTGGCTACAAGGCATCTAGTTAGCAACTGAGGCTGGATTATTGTGAAAGAAAGTCTACACTGCTTTGATCTGATAAGCTCAGTGTGGGCACCTAGTCCAGATGCATAGGTCCTGCAAATGTAATCCCATACTGGAATCTGTTAGTACCAGAATATCACACACTTTTGCCTGCATACATTTGATAGGTCTTAGAGGAGAGCTTTGTGGCCTGGCAAAGTCTTCTGCTCCAACCAGGAATCAGAATGTGTTGGCTCTAGGATATAAATCATTAAGTGTAAATGTCATAGTGATTTTACAAAAGAAAACAAAACCACCTTAGAAAGTAGTCCAGCCAGAGACCTGGGTGAGGAAGACCTGGCCAGGTTCTCAGAGACTTGCACAGAGGGGAACCTCGTGCTGCTTACCTGGGTGCAAAGGACACAACAGGTCCCTCGGGGACCTGAAAATTTGGGAGCTGCAGTGGCCTCAAGGAGCAGATTGGGAAAGTCACCAATCAGCAGCTCTGTGGCAGGAACTGCAGCCAGGCGACCCTGGAACTTCCCAGGCTCACTGATCACCCAGACCTGCTCACCTGTGCAGCAGGGCAAGGGACCTGGAAGGACAGAGGAGACAGAAGATGGGGATACAGGTTTGAGACCTACTGAGAATGACCACAGCCCTCTGTGAGACTCTGGATATGGAGCTATGTCTTGGAGCCTAGTGGGCTGAGTGGAGAACTACAGCTAAAGGCAGTGATTCTCCTCCTACAATCCATCCATAGACAACATTTGAAAGAGAACTATCGAAAATGTGATTCTGTCCATCACCATGTGAAGAATGAAAAGGAGATCTTGGCTAAGTGCCTCAGGACCCCTCCATATGTGCACTTTATAGAACAAGTGAAACTACAGAAAACTCTTAATGAATCACAGGGATGCCTCTGTTGACTCAGCAAACCCAGACAGACATGAAAGTATCTACACTGGAGAAGAACCTTGCCAATCTAAAGATTGTGAGAAATCTGTAATATTTTGTTCCAACTTTACTCAAGATCAGAGAGTCGACACTGCAAAGAAAGACCACAGGCAGGAAGAAGGTGATGACTCTTTGAGCTCTGCATCTAGGCTTTTGCAGCAACCAGTCTACATTGAAGAAAATCCATAACAGTGTGGGAAATGCAAGAAATGCTTCAGGACTGCCTCCTCACTCATTGCACCAGAGAGAATTCATACTGGAATTAAACCCTACTAGTGCAACATTAGTGAAAAATCCTTTACCCAGCATTCTAGCTGTAAAATACACCAAAGCCTTCATATTTAGAGAAACTATATACATGTATGTATGGAATGTGACAAGTCCTTCACATGGATTTCAGAATTTAGATTACATCAGAGCAGTCACAGTGAGGAGAAACAGTACAAATCTACCAAATGTGACAAGTTCTTTACCCGGGACTCACATCTTAGAAGTCAGAGAATTCATACAGGTGAGGGACCTTATGTATGGCATGTGAAAAATCCTTTACCAGCGTCTCACTTCTTAGAACAAATCAGAGAGTTCATACTAGAGAGGGACCTTACAAATGTATGGAATGTGACAAGTCCTTTACCTGGAATTCAGATCTTAGAAGACATCAGAGAGTTCATACTAGAAAGAGACCTTACAAATGTATGGAATGTGACAAGTCCTTTACCTGTGATTCTGTTCGTAGAAGACACCAGAGATTTCACACAGGAGAGAGACCTTACAAATGCAAACTATGTGACAAGTCCTTTACCCAGGATTCAGTTCTTAGAACACATCAGAGTGTTCATACTGGGGACAAACCTTACAAATGTATGCAGTGCGACAAGTCCTTTACTTAGAAGACATCAAAGTTCACACCAAGGAGAAACACATGTATTGAAAGTGACAAGTCCTTTATAAGACATCAGAGGGTCCATACTGGAGAGAGACCTTGAAGTTGTAGGGAATGTGACAAATCTTTTACTAGATGCAAACACATTACAACACATCAGAATATTCATACTGGAAAGAAACCTTCCAATGCCAAGCTTGACACATCCTTCATCCATATTGCAAGTCTTAACAGATGGAGAGAAAAATCACACTTCAAATACTGTGACATACCTTTTTCTGCTATTCTCTGCTTACAGATAACAGCAGTATATATAATAAAAACAAAAAGATAAGAAACATGTGAAACCCTTTAATTAGGTTTAGATCTTAGAAAACATCACAGAGTTTTGCCAAATTAATATTCTCCCAATGTTACTGCAGTAAAGGCTTCTTATTTCTTTTACTGTGAAAAAAAAAAAAAGTAGTCCAGCCAATCACAGAGCTCAGAAGACAGGAGTACGCAGCCAAAAATTAATAGGTGGATGAAAATGCACTGATAAAATGTCAAGGGGGAAAGCTACATAGAGAAACCCTGTCTCAAAAAAACAAACAAAAAAAGTATATGGGGAGGGGGGTTAGAGAGATGGCTCAGTGGTTAAGAGCACTGGCTGTTCTTCTAGAGGACCTGTGTTCAATTGCCAGCACCTACGTGGCAACTCACAACTGTCTGTAACCCCAGTTCCCGGGACCTGACACTCTCATGCAGGTAAAACACCAATGCACATAAGTTTTAAAGAAGTTATGAAAATCTGTGGACCTAAATTTTTGGAGAACATTGATAAAATTTAAGTAACCTTTCTAATGGGATTACTGCTTTAATGAAGTAAAATCGAATTTATTTTACACTTTTAGATATATTTTTAAGTACTTACATGTCATCAAAAAAAAATGAAAAATCCATGATAGAGTTAAAACTAGAAAAACAATGAAGGCCAGAGTAAAATATCCTAGTCTGGTTTTAAGATTATAAATGCTGAAACACGCTCAAGAAATTGACATGTCCAAGGCCACACAGATAAGTGGCAGCCAATTATTGCTCCTGTGTTTTACACACTCTTGACCTTAAACTTGCTGGTTCACAGAGAACAAAGCTGCAGCTTTTCATTTCATTCCCGGCCAGATCTGCAGCGTCTTAGCTAGCTCAGGTTGCAACCACTGCAGAATTATACCTGTTCTACTAGATTTAGATGGGGGCATACTTCTAAGACCTCCCTTTCTCTCAAAACAGGCTGTAAAAGGCCACTTAATCTCAGTATGAAACTGAAGTTGCCAAGGAGCAAACCAACTGTTGAGAGATCAATAACACACTAACGGGATTTTTATTGTGCCTTAAAATGATTGATTGCAAAGCTCTTTGCACTTGAACCATGCCTTCATTCATTCATCCCTCTGGTAAATGTTTATTGAGGACCTCGCTTCGTTTGATTTGCCAAAAAAAAGAAACAACTATAGTACAGTAGTTGACTGTATTCCTTTTTGAATAGCAGCGGTAAGAAAGAGTGGAGGAAAATTAGCCTCATTCAGCAAAATCACAAGAGTGTAATATTTCCACTCATTCACCTTCTTCCACGTGAAAATGGGCACTCCTGTTAGATTCTAGGACTGTGGGAGTGTGTATAGCTGTATTGGCAGAGGTGTTTGGTACCTTTGTGTTTCTGAGCTAAAGCCAAGACAGCGGTCAGCTTTCCCAGGCACTAACGTGCATAGACAGCTTGCTTTCTGTGCTCAATCCAGCTGAACTAGGTTTGTTTTATATTTGGGAAAAAACACTACTTTTGACCCCGTCCTCAGGGTCCTTTCTTAAATCACTAAGAGGGCTGAAGAGATAGATGGTTTAGTGGTTGAAAGCACTTGCTGTTCTTGCAGAGGAACCAGGTTTGGTTTCTCAGCCCCAAAATGGCAGCTCACCCCTGCCACCTATGACTTCAGTTCCAGGAGTCCCTTGCCCTCTTCTTGACTCCACTGGATCCTAGATGCACACGGAGCATAAAAACACACAGGCTGTTGTAACTTTAAAAAGTAGCACACAAGCAAAAGATGCCACGTGACAGAGCTTAGGTGGAGGAGTTTTTTATTGGGGAAAAGTAAATGGGAAGACAGGGGAGGGGAGGGAGAAAATCAGTCTCTGCAGACAGGAGCAACAGAAGGCAAGGTGGGGGGAAGTGGGCAGGGCCCCTTTTAAAAGGGAATGCTGTGAATTTGCACAGGGGTGCTCTTAGTGGCTATCTGCTGAGGGCGTGTCCTGTCAGAACTCCGAGGTTAGGCCAGTACAGATGCCCAAATACTAACACAGGTTCACTTATATACACTAAAATAGATTTTTTAATCACTAAGAAAATATTAGAGGGTTTCTTTGCATATTAAAGCTTGCATACTGCTTGCTTTATTGTGCTTTTCATTCTAAAATAAAAATATTGATACATGCTGGGCGGTGGTGGCACCAGCCTTTAATCCCAGCACTAGGGAGGCAGAAGCAGGCAGATTTCTGTGAGTTCAAGGCCAGCCTGGTCTACAGAGCGAGTTCCAGGACAGACTCTAAAGCTACAGGGAAACATTGTCTCAAAAAACCAAAAAAAAGAATAAAAAAAAAACTGTTACAGCTGTAATCCAGCACTCAGGAAACTGAGGCAGAAGGTCATGAGTTTGAGGCCAGTCTCCTATATAAAGATCCTGTCTTAAAAAATGCAAAACTTTAGCTTGGATCTGCATTAGTGTCAAGTGTATGTGATATGCAGCTCCTTCTTGGTAATTCTTAAGCTGGTTGAAGTAATTTTTTTTTTTTTTTTTTTTTTTTTTTCCGAGAGGCTGTCCTGGAACTGCCTCTTGTAGACCAGGCTGGTCTTAAACTCACAGAGATCCACTGCCTCTGCCTCCCAAGTGCTGGGATTAAAGGCAAGTTCAACCACCACCCAGCTGAAGTAACGGTTTCTATACTTAAATATCTAAAGAGAAAGCCATGCATGAGATGTTGGGTCTGGTCAGGTTGTAGGAAGTAGGCAGTGTAGAATTCTGGCTTCTTCAAGGTTAACACACAAATACACAGAGAATTCTGCAGGTTTCCCTAGTCTCCAAAATTCTGGGAGATACTGGCAGCTGAAAACCAGAGAAGTTTGCACAAGTCTCCCCAGGTGTTTGCAGATACACCCCTGCCTCTGCTCACACCTTTGCCTCTTCATCAGGAAACAACTGCCTACAGGAATTGCCACTAAATGTAATTGCCCTGTTTCATGCTTGCTTGTAAGAGGTATCTGTAAGGGTTGATTCAGCTGATGTAACTTCAGACCCAGAAATAAAAGTGGTCAAGTTGTTTTCTTCAGCTTCTGGAGAAATGGCCAAATGGGAGGATGTTGTAGGCTTTGGCACAGCTCAACAAAATAACTATTACCTCATCTGGCAAAGGTGAGCGAGGTTTTATTTATTCTATACTTTTATGAAAGCACCAGTGTTATTTAACACCATCCACCAGCCTGTTACTCGGAACACGGGTGATTTTATTTTAGATGGTAGAAGCAGAGTCATCGTTACTTAACTTCTGGAAAAGAGTGAGTGTGTGGTGCTGCCACTGTTGGGGATGACTGTCACTCCTTGTCCTCTTCCGTCTGTCATTAGGGAGCAGCTGAGGTTCCATTACAGCCAGGGTTGCCACTGTGACAACAGTGATGAACAGCCGTCGAGCAGCATTTACCATCTTTCCTGCCACACCAATGGCTCCACATTGAATGGAAATGGGCCCAGCACTCTGGCTGTGTGTGAGAATCCTGCACCCCTAGCTGGACCTTGGGCCGTTCCAGAGGTAACCCTTGTTGAAATAAATCTTAGTTATCTATGTGCCTAATAACTGTAACCATCATTTCCTTGCCTTTCTCCCCCTGCACTTCTGTTCTCTCTCTCTCTCTCTCTCTCTCTCTCTCTCTCTCTCTCCCTCCCCCTCCATCTCTCTCTCTCTCCCCCTCCCTCCCTCCCTCCATTTGCCAGTAAGAAAAAAGAGGAAGGATTTCAATTCTTTCTGACTCCTCTGATTAAACCGTGACCTAAAATTTCTTGCTACTAAATTTTAGATGATCATCGGAAATAGATTTTTCTGACCCTTAAACTAGGATTGGAAAGAACTTTTGATTAGCTAAAGGAGACATGAAGACCATTTAGAAAGATATTTCAACAGTGATTAGTGATGTGTTTCTAAGTCCCCTGAAGATTTACCTGCATCTCTCCGCATTCCCTCTCAGCTTGGAAGAAAGTATCCCTGGAATGTATCTTCCACACCTTTCCTCCAAATGCCTGCTGGCTGAGTTGCTTGAGCTTTCCTTGTGCTGTAGATAGGGATGGGGCATCATTTTTTTTTTTAAACTTACTTGTACTTCCAGCTTCTTTAAAACTCCCCCCTCTAGGATCTGGGGATTGTAGCTCAGTGGTAGAGCTGATACAAAGTATCACAGAGCCTAGTACCCAAGCCAAACTAATCAAAGAAGCAAAGTCAATATCCCTTAAGCCTTGGAGGTAGAGGCAGTAGAATCTGAGTTCAAAGCCACCTAGAGCTCCCAAGTGAGAGCCTGTCTCAAACAGCTCAATAAACTCTATTTAGAGGAGTTGTAATTTTTATTCCATCTTCACCTAACAAACTTCTTTTACCTTTCTTTGGGTGTTTGCCTGGATATTTTTTGTGGTGTATTTTCCTTCTTTCTTTCTTTTATTTTTTTATTTTTTTGAGACAGGGTTTCTCTGTGTAACAGCCTTGACTGTCCTGGAACTAATTCTATTGACCAGGTTGGCCTAGATCCTGCCTCTGCCTCCTGAGTGCTGGGATTAAAGGCATTCGTCACTACTGACCAGGTGTTAAGTGGTGGGGCTGGATTAAAATGTTAAGCAACATTTAGAATGTAGTTAGGGATTATGCTGGTTTAGTAAAGTGACAGTTGAAGGTTCTCCTCCAAGATCATGACTTCACTAGTCCTGTATAGTTGGCTAGGTTTCCAAAACCAGGCATGATTTCCCCTCTTGTTGAGTGTGTCTTAAGTCCAGTTAGAGAGCTGTTGGTTACCGCAAAGATATCCCTACCACTATTGTACCCTTAGGGCGATTGTGCCATGCTGGTCATTGCCGTGCTTCATAAGCATCAGAGCTGGGTAGGGCTGTTGGTTGCTTCCCTCCTCTGGAAGCTTTCATGTTGCCTTCTGGTGCCCTGAAAGCTAGTCCTCAGAAGGCATTCAGGTCAGTTCCAGGTCAGGGACCTCTGGGTCCTGTGTCTGAAGTACATGTAACTTCAGCAATAGGATGCTTGTGTGTGTGTGTGTGTGAGGGTGAGGGCATGTGAGTTTGTGTGAGGGTGAGTGAGTGGGTGGGTGTGAGTGTGTGTGAGTGTGAGGGTATGTTTGTAACAATAATTAATGAAAAGGTAGGATTTACAGGGAGTAAAGGGAAGGGAGAAATTATATAATTATATCATAGTCTCAAAAATATGAAAAATGTAATGTTAAGCAACAGATTGCTCACTAAAACCGTATTTACACTTCATTACTGGCTGTGTTGGGAGTGCTAGCTTCTTTGGGTTCTTGTCTGAGTAATCATCAAATAGGCAAGGAAAGCATGGATCTATTAATTATCAAGGGTAAACAGCTTCTAAAATATTCGTTGAGAACCGGGGTGATGGTGCACACCTGTAATTCTAGCACTTTGGGAGGCTAAGGCCAGGGGAACAAGAGTAGGGGCTAGCATGGGCTACACAGGGGACCCTTATTTCAAATAAAAAGAGTACATAAATAAACAAATGTTCATTATGCCTGTGTCCATGCTGTCCTGTCAATTTTCTCCTCCTGGGTGATGTCTTTTTTGCTTAACCAGGTAAGGGACCAGGTAGTGAGGAAAGTGGAGCTTTGCCATTGAAAGATGATGGCTGGTCATAGAATTGTGTCCTGATGTGCCCAGTAATGGAGGCCTCTTCTTAACACCAATGTTGATTGTTTTCTAAAACTTATTATTATCATTATTATTATTATTATTATTATTATTATTAATAGTAGGAATAGTATTTTGTTCATGTACATTTCATTTTGAGAATTTAATTTTCTGAAAAACACTTTCACCTTCAGCTGTTAAAGTCCTCAGGTGTGCCTTTTATATAAGATAACTTGGTTCCTCCCCTCTCCCCAGAGGGGTGGGGGTTCCTTTTATCAGATGCTCTGTTTGTATTTTTTTTTTTAAGTTATTGTCTGGGGCTGGAGAGCACTGGCTGCTCTTCTAGAGGTCTTGAGTTCAATCCCCAGCAACCACATGATGGCTCACAGCCATCTATACTGGGATCTGATGCCCTCTTCTGGCATAAAGGTGTCTATGCAGATAGAGCCCTCATACATAAAAAAGTCTTTTTTTTTTTTTTTTTAAAGTTCTCATCTGAGATTTGAATTCGAATTTTGTTCTTTCACCCTCCCTGTTTAGTGATTGCCTGCATATCTTTCATGAGACAGATGTAAGTATTTATGCTAATCAACTTCAGAAACTACTTTTGCTTTCCATCCATGATGACACTGAAGTAATTAACAGATTCTTTCTCCACCTTATTAATCCTTCCCTCTGTTCTAACAGTTTATTTTTATTTATTATTGAGGTAAAGGTGTGAGCCATCACACCCAGCTATTTCTGGTTTTTAGGTTTTTTTTTTTTATTTTATGTGTATGAGTATGTTCCCTGCATGTATGTCTGTTCATCATGTATGCCAGGTACCCATGGATGTCAGAGGAGGGTGTAAGATCCTCTGGGACTGGAATTACAGAGGGTTGTGAGCTGCTATGTGGATGATGGGATCCATCAACCCCTTTCTTCTAAGGACTGCTGGTGGCCCCTGGCCAGGGACCCTCATGTCACACAGATGCTCTCTCTGCAGGAGTTTCTGCTTCCCAAACTCTTTAGAATTCATTTCTCAGAGTGAGCTAGGAAAGGACAGAACATGAGATCACTTAAAGACCCCCTCCCCCATTTAAGCTCAGATTCTGGTGGCTTATCCATGTATAAACAGGAAAAAAGACACTTGTGATTACACTTGTCACGGAATCATTTACTTTTCAAACCAGGACATGTTTCAGAGTAAAGAGGAGACTGACTACCTTTTGGTAGATAATGTATGTATCTTTCCTCCCGATTTAATCTACTTATTCCCAAGGAAAATTTTAGGTTCCCTAATGTAGCCTTTCCCAGTCAGGTGGCTCCTTTAAACATCTGTACTTAATTAAAAAGGAAGGCGTCTTGTCAGGTGTTCTGTGTTGCCTGGGTCAGCTGAAGAAAAGGGGTCACTCCAGAATGTAATTCAGGCTCTGTCACAGCAGAGGTGCTTCTGGAAGTTTTCTCATTTGGTAAAAAGGATTGCTTCTCTGCTCTACATCTGCTTTGACTTCATAGGAACCTAATGTGCTGGTTTTTAGCTTAGTCCTAGGTGTGTGTGGGGAGGCTAGGGGTGCACTAGGAGAATGTGTTCCTGGAGATAGTGCAGATTGACTTCTGGGAGAAAGGCCAGGGTTAAAGTGGAGAATAGGAACCTGATACAGGGACCAGAAATCTGTCCACCATGGTAAACAGTAGGGAGGATTTGAAGCAGGAGAATTAAGAGTTCGAGGCTAGCCTGGGCTGCACAATGAAATCCTAGGAGTCTTAAGCAACACAACACTAAGAGTCTGATGCCAGGAGTCTCTGCTGTGTGGTTCCTGGGACCTAGGAATCCAACAGTACCCAGGAGAGGCCAGGAGCCTTTGTTTGTCAGTCTCACCTTGTTCACCTAGGTCACCCACATCGAGATTCAGGTTTTTCAGAGCAAGATTTTCTATCCCAAGAAAGCATGTATGATGTTAAATCTTTGCATCTTTTCTCTTAAGATACTCATTTTTTTTTTTTTAGGAAACCACAGCCCCAGCTGGAAACCAAGATGAAGAACTTCTAGAAGGTAATATGAACCTTGAGCTGCTGTGGTTGAGAAAAAGAAAAAAGAAAGAACAATTTCTAGTACTTCATTCTCTCAGGTTGCTAGAAAAAGAGATCTGACTGGAAAATTCCATTGTAGGTTGCTTAAAAATTCTCCTTGGAGATTTGTCCTGTTTCTATGGGGTCTAATAGGTTTTCTGTGCCCCCATCCAACTACCCAATAATAAGTTTCTCTGCTGACGAAGCAAGCCAGGTCAAGTCGAATAGAAATATTGAACAAAGCAACTCTTGGGCGGAGTCTGTGGTCCTAGAGATCGAGGCCAGAGAAGCTGAGCTCCCAGGCCAGGGCAAGAAAGTTTTATAGATTGTAGGTAAGGGGTGATGATCTGTCTGCCACAAGCTGGGTTTGTGCCCCAAATTTGGTCAAAAGCTGAGAGTGCTTAGGCAGTGACTTGGGCAGCTGGGGGCAGCATCATAGGAAGAAGTTGCAATAGTCGCCAAGAATGCAGAGCTGGGCTTTTTGGCTCCTTTCCTTTGTTTGGATATTCTCTGAGCATCAGGGGAGGTGGGGGGAGGGATGGGGCTTGCCGGACCATGCAGGGATGAGCTGGAGGCTCCATCCAAACAGGGTCAATGTCAGCAGAGTCATCTCTCTGGGCCTTTCCAAAGCTTGGGAAATGGGGACTTTCCCAAGTAGAAGAAGCTATGAAGCTATTTTCAAGATTTGTTTCATCCATAAGCTTAGACTTTAAAATTTGCTACAGCCTGAGTGGGGGCCCTGAAGTTCAAGTGTTGGAAAGTTAACCTCCAGCGCCACAGTGCTGAAAGGTCTCTTAAAGGAGAGAAGTAGAGCCTCAAGGGTAGCTTGGTGCAGTCATTGTGCCAGTGGACTCCTGATACGGGGCTGCAACTAGCCCTGTATCCCTGCCCATTTCTTCTCTCTGTCCCCTTGTGTTCCCCTGCCTTTTCCGTCTATAAGGGGTCAAAACACCCTGTAATCTTGGGTTTCTAGGACTTACGTCAAATACATTTTGCCCATTATATGAATGTCAGTGCAAATGGATTAAGGATTAACCATGTTTCAGTTTGTGTGTGAGAGCTGAGATGTAACACAGGACCTTTCCCATACCCATGATTCATTTTTTAAAGAGAAAAAGCAGGAGGTAGTTTCTGTAGCTATGGCTTCCTGGCTCTCATCTAGGCCATTGATTGATTGCTGGGGACCTAACAAGAGTCTCTGGAGTGAGAAGTTGGAGATGTTTCCTAAGGTTTTCATTGGTTCTGAAAAGAACAAAGTTGGACCCCAAACAGTTTTTGAATGCGTCATATTTGAGTAAGGGGAGAAAATACTTTTATCACAGACAAGAGGAAAGGAGATATGGAGAAATAGGCACCCTGTTCTGCAGGGCTAGGCAGACCATCCTTGCCTTTGTTATCCTAATGAAGCCAGCAGGTAATTGTGTTATGGGGATAACCAAAGCTCCTCCCACCACGGCTACACAGCTCTAGAGGCTGGAAGCTCAGGTTCTGGCAAGAGCTCTCTCTGTCTGACAAGTAGATGGTGTTCCTCTGCATGCCCTCACACAATCTCTTCTTGGTGTTGATATTAAAACTGAGGAAGGAAACTCTGCTACCTTCTCACTGATCCTCTCAGACCTGGATCCTACCCCATGATCCTCTCCAACACCCATTATCCACCCCCAGCCCCAGCTCCAAAGACTATCTAAGTGAATGCTAAGACTTCAGTATATGAAACACAGCATTTAGTCCCTGACAGCCTTTCCAAGGACTATGAACCCACGGGAGGCAAATTATGGTCCTGGATGCATTTAGACTTGCAAAAATTACAAAGGAGCTCAAAGAGCTTCTTCAAATTCCATTCTATGCAAGGAGGAAGAAAATGGATTAGTTTAAAAAAAAAAATGACCTTGGAGCTTCGGGAGCCTTAGAAAGCCTGACCACTTGGATGGAAAACCCAGGCATAGTTATATTCAGCCACAGTATAACCTCTTTACCACGGGTTCCAGGCTTCAGAATTACTTGATCCATGAAGCTCGTTTACTTGCCTATATCTGTTTGCTAAGCAGACAGGGCAATATGCTTCTTTTTTGGAGCTTTGTCTGGGGAGCCCCAGCCTGGCTCACTGTTTATAAAACATCCTCCTGGATTCTCAGGCAGTAGCTCCACTCTCATCCTGGACTTCCCTTTTTCCTAAATGGAATCCCCACCCCTCCTCCCCACATCTTTGCATTTCTGTTTTCCTCCATCTCCAACTATCTAGACTCCTGCTGAGCCCCATGACACACCTTTTACAGTTGGAATTGGTAGTTTCAAGTTTTGGTAGAAGGAAACAGAATTTCCCCCCCAAATGTCTTTTATTCTGTATTTCCATTGTGCATGGTATTATGCTATGTAAGGAGTATATTACACTGTACACTGAGCATGTTCCCCCCAAATAAAAATGGTACCTTTAATGTCTATAATAAATGCCACTGATTTTTTTTTCTTTAACAAAGTCTCTAGTTTTCAGCCATTACCAGTATGTGTTATGTGAAACTGTTCTTCTCATGTCTGATTGGCTTCTGCAGACTTAAATCTTCATTTGGATACTGAAGAATCAAACAAGGAGTTCATGGCAGAAAGTGAAGAACTGTACGATTCCCTCAGGAGCTGTCACTGGCTGTCTCTAGACACCATCCTGTCTAACATGCCTGATGAGCCCAACCCCACCCCCAATGTGAAACAAGTATTCATCACGACCTCCAGCTGACCTATTAATTGTGTCTTGCTTTGGGTTTGGAAAAAAAAAAATCCAGGAATGTATTCGATTCTGAATATATTACTCCTCCCCCTCTCCTTTTTCTGGTACTGGAGTTGAGCCCAGGGTCGTGTGTGTGTGTGTGTGTGTGTGTGTGTGTGTGTGTGTGTGAGGAAAGCATTCCACCAGCCCTCAAACACTGCATACAAATATAAACCTCTGGGATTTCAGGGAGACTGAGATGATGGAATATGGTGTAAATAAGGCTTAGCAGCACAGCCATTCCAGGAAGTGTTATCTTAAATCTGTTCCAGAAGAATTCATGTGACTGACAAGGCAGAAATTACGAGATGAGGTTGGAGATGGATTTTATAGAGATGGGTTAGTGGCCTTCGCTACTGTGCCTTGCTGACTTCCTGTAACAGTACTCTCAGGAGAAATCGGATGCACATGGGATATACAATTTCTCTTGGCATCCTGTCTGGCAAATGTCAATTAGAATTAGAGTCTCAATCTTCACTGGCCCTCAGGCTCTGTTTAAAGAAGTTGGTTTCACAGTAGAAGGCAGTGGAGAGTCACTCAGTTGAACAGAAAGATTCCTAAACATGGACAAAGTTCACCTCGTCCACACAGCCTGATGGTTTTTCTAAGATCACGGCATTGGGATTTTATAGAAGCCAGTTGTGAAGCTTCAGTGTGTATCGTGACTGTGTTTATGAAGTGGGGGTGGTGTAGTCGGGAAGATGGTTCAGTGACTAAGAGCACTAGTTGCTCTTCCAGAGGCCTTAGGTTCAATACCCGGCACTTACATGACAATTCACAATCACCTGTAACTCCAGTTCCAGGGTATCTGATGCCCTCCTCTGTCCTCTATGGGAACCAGGCATATATATGTTGCATAGGAAAAACATTCATAAAACAGTAAGTTATAAAAACTTAAATAGGTTTTTTGTTGTTGTTGTTGTTCTCTGGTTTATTGCTTTGCTTCAGATAGACACTTAAGGGAGACCCCTGGGTTGAGGTCATGGACTTGAAAGCTAAAAGCATATGTTTAGGAAGGTTGTTCAGACCACACACAAAGGGATCCAGCATCACCCTTCCAAAGGTATTTGGTACATTATAAAACATACTGCACAGGCCTTCGAAAGATACACAGAAGCCTGGTGGGCTGTAGCTGCTGCAAACTAAAGCAGGGGCCAGGGCTTTCCGAGTCCCACCCTGTCACCATTTGTCATTTGAGCCCAGACCTTTTCCCTTGCCCATTATCTTGAGCATTTTTCTTGACCTCTGCGATATGATGCCCACAACACTCTTGCACCGTAATGTGAGGAAAGTGTCCCCAGACATAGCCAAATGCCCCCGAGGGGTGAAACTGTGCCTTCACCTAAGATGACTAGAATAGGACCGTGATTGCCAGGCCCCAGGAAGGTGTGTTTAGACTGAATCAGAAAGCTCGCCCTAGGATTTGACAGTGAAATGAGAAAGATACAGACACAAATCAGCAGGGCAAAAATTTCAATTTAGCCAAGCAATTCTTTGTTAGAGAAATTACCACAAATCCGTATTGTTTGCATATTTGTTTTAAAGGAACAACCAATTTAACCTCATTTACATCCTTCTTGTATATAAAGTCTCACTATATAGTCCTGGGCTCAAGCTCGTGATCTTTTTTGCCTCGGCCTCCTAAGTGCTTGGAAAACAGAATTTTTAATACTGTGGCTAAATGAAGTTAGAACAAGAGATGCCTGTGTTCTCTCTTGGCCTTTTGAGTCTCACATTGCCTGTAGCTCTCAAGTTGGCCTGGAGCTAGAAGCCATCCTCATCCCTCAGCCTCCCAACTGCTGGGATTATGGGTGTGAAGCCCCACACCTGGGTCCAGATAAAGACTTTTTACTACATAAACCGTCCTGTCTTTCTAGCAGGGATTCAGCTTTGAACTTGAAGAACAAATGTTTAAGGAGACCAATAGACAACACACGATGTGATCTAGTAGAACTTCAGTTACATAAGCAGGTCAGATTTAGCTCCCAAGACAAATAGCCTCGAGTGGGTAGAGGCTCCCTCAGAAGGCAGTGGCAACAGACTATGATAAGGGACCATTAAAGCCAATGGAAACATACATGGATGGCTACAGAGGAAAACAGAAGTCAGGTAGCCCATACTTCTAGGGGAAAAAAAAAATGGTTAACCAGGTGCTTTGTGGTATTGAGTTGTGAATACCTCTGGTGTGGAGAGAGGGGGAGACTCTGAGATCTGACTGACTACACTATGGTTGTCAGGTCTACCCAGTCCTTGGGCCTTCAGGGAGTCCTTCTGTAGCAAGCTAACAGGGACTTACTTGATGATGACAAACTCCTCCTACCTTGGAAGCAGGGTAGGTCATGGGTTCCCAGCTGTGAATGTCATTATTCTGCCTGTAATTATCTCATCTGTGAGATCAAGGGCAGGCAGTGCTTTTGTGTGAGTGGAGAGGGAAAGCAGAAGCTGTCTTACCCAACAGGACTGATGACCACAACCTGGAAAACGGCTCTTTACTGATGCTGATACATTTTGCCTTACTAAGAGAGAGGAAATCATTGAGACAATAGGATAGGATGGAATCCGGTGTATCCGATAGGTAAACATAGGAAGGTGTGGACCAGTAGTCAATAGGTCCTTGTTTGCTCCCAGTGGGGAACTGAGTTACTGTTTATGTGGCTGTGACCAAAATGCCTGAGAAAACACTTTTGGACCGAGGGCTTGTCTTGGCTCACAGTTTCTGAGGGTTCAGACAGACCACACTTGGTTAGTGCCATGTGTTTGAGCATGGTGGTCAAACTGTGTGACAGAAGAAGTTCATCACTTCAGGCCAGACAGAAAGCAGAGAATGAGGAAGGAACTGAGGACCGTGGATGACCTTTAAAGTCATATCCCCAGTTAAATACTTCCTCCACAGCTAGCTTTTAAAGTTCCCAGAACCATGTCAGACAGCACTGCTATCTGGGAACCAAGCCTTAAACACACACACACACACACACACACACACACACACACACACACACACACACACAGCCCACTCATTTACACACTGAAAAAAGAGTTATTTAGTCTTTTGGTATTTTTGTGTTCCAGGTTGACCTTAAACTCTTAATATTTCTGCCTCAACCTCCTTAGAGCTGGGATTCCAGGGTTATGTGTCACCATGCCCAGCTAAAGTTTTTGTGGCAGTAAAGTATACATAAGGTAAAATTTACTGTATTAGCCCTTTTAAGATACATTTCAATAGTTTTTTCTTTCCGTTTGTTCATTTTTTGAGACAGGGTTTCTCTGTGTCACAGCTCTGGCTGTCCTGGAACTAATTCTGTAGACCAGGCTGGCCTCGAACTCACAGAGATCCACCTGCCTCTGCCTGCCATGTGCTGGATTAAAGGCATACACCACCACCACCGCCCAGCTCAACAGTTGTTATTGTATAATTATCACCACCATCTATATTCAGATTTTTTTCCTCTTTCCATGTTGAAACTCCATATCCATTGGACATTAGCTCCTTATGCTGTTTCCCTCACCCCTTCTCCACCAGCCAGAATTCTTTCTGTAGTAATGGACTTGCTTAATTTGTATTTTTCATACAAATAGAATCATACAAGCTGCTATTTGTGAACTTTTGTGTTTGATGCATTTTCAGTTGGCATAATATTTTCAGAGTTCATCTATGTTGCAGCATATGGGAATTTATTTTCTCAGGCTGAGTAGTATTCCATTGAATAGACTTGCCATATTGTACTCATTTATCCATGGGTAGATATTTGGGTTGTTTCTAACCATTGGAATGATTATTATGATAATTATGAAATGATAATTATGAATGATGCTGCTATAAATGTTTAGACATGATACCCAAGCCAGGCTTCCTAAAGTCTGAGATGTGTGGGCAAGCAATATACACATATTCCAGTGTGACCCACTCTTTTGGAGCCTGTCCTGGAACTAGTTTTCATATGCCAGGCTGGTCTCGAATTCACAGAGATTGCCTGCCTCTGCCTCCCAAGTGCTGGGATTAAAGGCATGTACCACTACTGCCTGGCCCAGTGTGGTCCACTGTTGATGTCTGATAGAAACAGTGTGGAGGAAAAAGATACGAACTGTCTTCAGGGACCAGGCAGATTTGTTTTAGGCCATGATTTCCCAAGCTATGGTTTATGGAACACATGAATTCTATAAAGAGATGAACAGCTTAAAACAGAGGCAGTGATTCTGTGTTCAAATTCATTCAAGAAAGGCTGTGTCTTTCCTCTCCATGTTTTCAGATGAAAGGCTCTGACAATGTGCCATTTCTGAGCATTTCCCAAATGGACCAGACCATACAATAAGCCCCTTTATCTGACACACCTAGCTGGTACGGGAGTCTTCTAAATTCATGTACTGAAGGTTGATTCTGCAGATGGGATGGGCTGTTGACTGTGCTGACTGACACTCGACATTAAGTTGAATGTAGAAATCAGGCCATAGTAGAAAGCCCTCTGGCAGTGTGGCGGGTCCACGGAGTCCAAACAACATTGTGCTTTCTAATAATTTACTCTGTTATGTTCCAAAACTGTATGCAAATGAAATACCAATTCTCCATCACTGATGGTGAGAGGCCCTGTTCAGAGAGGAAAGTAGCCTAGAGGCATGTACAGACATTTGAATTTCATGGGTTTGAAACCATAAAAGAAGACAACCATTAATATATAGTGGCCAACTGCTTTTCCCTTTAAGATTTGCACTCTCTGTTCCTTTCATTTCACATTTAAACATGACTTTTTTTTTTTAAAGATTTTTATTTTGGAAATAGGGTTTCTCTGTGTAGCCTGGAACTCACTCTGTAGATCAGGCTATCTCAAACTCAGAGATCTGCCTGCCTCCGCCTCTGGAGTGCTGGGATTAAAGGCATGTGCCACCACTGCCTGGATAAATATGACATCTTAATATTTTTAAAAAATGGGCTTGCCAAGAATGTACCTCAGTGGTAGGTTGGGTACTCAGCATGTCATCAAGGCCCTGGGTCCAGTCCCCAGTACCGTGTACATAACATTTAAAAGAGAATGTATGCCATTGGCAAGATGCCTCAACAGGTAAATGTACTTGCCACCAAGCCTGACAACCTGAGTTGATCCTTAGACCCTTTAGGGTAGAGGTAGAGAATCAACTCCCCAAAGTCATACAATCTCCAGAACCAAGGCCAAGGGGAAGAAAGACTTAATTTCTTAACAACATAAATCCTTTATACTTCAGAAATAATGTTTTATGAAAGCCTTGCCTCATTTTACCAAGGGTCTATATTGTACTTTGGATGTTCAAGGTCCTGCACCAGCTCATGTGTTTGAATATTTGGTCCCCAGTTCAGTTGGTGGCACTCTTTTGGAAAGTTCTAGAACCTTTAGGAAATCAGTACTGGATAGAAGCATTGGTCACTGGGGGGGTGGGGGTTGAGATTGAATAGCCTTGCCTCATGTCCTATCTACTGTCTGCTTCCTGACTGAAGAGCCACTGTGACCAGCTGCCTCATGGTCCTGCTGCTATGCCTTCCTCACTATGACAGACTGTGCCTCCTCAAGCAATAAGGCAAAGTAAACCTGTCCTCCTTGAAATAACCTGCAGTCTGGTATTTACTCACAGCAACAAGAAGAGTCACTAATACAGCCCTCAAGAATGTCACTTTAGAGTAGCCTTCTCACCTACCAAGCTATGGAAAGCATTGACAGCAAAGAGTGAGTTCTTGGCTGCTGGAACAAGGGAAAGAGAAAGGGAAGATTTCTCCCCACACTGTTCTCTGAAAGTACCAGAAGCAAGATGAGAGCAACTTGTTCATGTGAGTCACAAATTGGACCTTTAGACCAATTTGAACACTAAGACAAAACAGTTGTAGTGTTTGCCTATATATTCTATTCACCATGGAGACAGGGCCTTGCTCTATAGC